TTCGTAGATCTGCCTGTTCTGCTCCCCACTCCCCACTCTGGTGAAGCCTCTCGCAGCCCCTGAGCCTGTACCCCAGTTCTGTATGAACAAATAAATAAATTTTTTTGAAAAAAATTGGACAATATAAAAAAATACATTGAATAGCAGTCATTTCAAAATTTTGTTAATGTTACTCCACCAGACCCCAAGTCTCTTCCCACTTTCCCTACTACCCTCTTCCAGCAGTGTCTGTCCCACTCTCTGATTTTATTTCAGTCTCTCTTTTCCTCTTTGTTTTCCACTTTAAGATCTAACTGATTAGCTCTCCCTGTACCCTAGAGACTGTGTTGGCTAAATTAGATGACTTTATGGCCTCTAGCTTGTCTGTAACACCAAGAAGCATAATCCCACACAGAAACATCACTTAGTTTTGCCAAGGAGAAGAGAGAACTAACTTACATCCTATTGAACACTACATTCTATTTTTTTTATTAAAGGGCTTTGAGTTATAGTAAATTAGACTTTATCAGACAAAGCACTCTGTTTTTCTCCTGTAGTTCAAAGCCACTACATGGGGAAAAAAGGCTTTTTCTGGAGAATGAATGATCTGGAGAAATATTTCCTATGGAGTATAATTTTGTTGCACATATATACCAGCATAGGCACAGTTTAAAAAAAAAAAAAACAGTAACTACTAAATGACAAATGTCATTTTGATGTGTCAGCAGGGGAAAGAAGAGCTATAAAGATGCATCAAAGCTAAAAAATGAACTTAATTCTTAACAAGAGTTCATGAATCACAGAAACTTATAAACATTCCATTTGCTCTCCTTTGTGCTACCAATTCTGGCAAACTAAGATTGATCATTTTAGGAGACACAGATATACTGTCTATGCAAATATACTGACAAATCTCTGAGTCTACACAAGTAAGTAAAACTATTACAGGATCTAGTGCCATATCACTATGCCTCAGTCAAAAGCAGACCACATTTATGATAGTGATGCATGGATTACGCTAGGAGCAGGCACTTACATTATGTAAGTGCACTCTATGATGCTTGCACAAGACTAAGATTCTCTGAGAACACATTTCTCAAAACATTACCTCAATTATCAAGTGACAGATGGCTGTGCCTTGTTTCCTTGTACCTTACAGTAAGTAATATGTTCTTATGAGGTAGCCTCTCTGACTGGCTCTCACTATGGGACACTTGTTAATTTTCTCTTTTAGATTTATTTGTATTTATTTATGCATATAAGAACTAAGGTGTAGGCAGCAGGGGGTTGAGAGGATTCATCAGAGATATAGGGGGGAGCAGAAAAGGCAGAGTTACTGAAAACCACTGCTGAGGGGAGCAGCAAGCAAAACAGGAAAGGTCTGCTGAGCCATGTGGGTCAGCTCCTAGCTTGGGCTAGAACTCATGCTGCAGTAGCTGGTGGTAGCTTGACAGCACTGACTTTAACCACTGCACCACCAGAGGCGCCCAGGACACTTGCTAATTATAAAAGTCAGTGCAACCTCTGCCCATATGGAAAGCCAGCTTCTCTAAAGTATTCTCCCTTATAAACATGACAGTAGCAGCCTTGTTCTAACCTTTAAGAGACAAGTGTACTTCAGTAAAGCTTTCTTAATTTAAAACATTTCCCACCAACATCCACAAGCACTTCATCCTTTTTTTTCATCTAGAAGCAAATAACAAAATACAAATACAAAGCAATCACTGGCATAAAACCAACTTTTTAGAAATAGTATACTTGTATGGAAACAGGTCTATGGTGGTGATTTTACTTATTGCCATGGTCATTTCTTACTAGTTAGTCCCTAGTTCACATGATATTTTAAATATCCCAAGTTTTCCCAAGAGTCCCAAGTTTTCCTGACAAACTCAGTATCTTCTTATCCAGTTCTATGAAGCAAGGACGCTGTCTATATTATCTCACCCTTTCTTTTAATGCCTTGACTCAATGCCTCAGTAAAGCTCAATAAAGGTCTGAATTAATAAATCACACTTAAGTTTTATTAGCACAAGCTTTCTTGCTTTCTTGCTAAAAGGGGCTGAAGCTCTGAAATACTTATAATTCAAGAACTATAATCAAAAATTAAATAAGAGAGCAGTCCTGTTGTAACAATATGCATATATGTTTGCAAAATGCTATTAACAAAAGAATTCTTTAAGTTACAAACCTATTGAGAAGTGCAGAATTTAAGAGGACAACAATGTCCCTCCCCTCTGCATGATCCCCTCCCCTCTGTGTGCATTTAATGAGATACCACTCCCCTGACTGTGTCATTATGGCAAGGGGAGATTACCCTGGATGATTATGTGTGACCTAATCAAGAGAGCCCTTTAAAAGCATATAGTTTTGGTTTTTTTTTTTTTGCAGCTAGTTGCAGAAGACAAAGAACTGGCTAACTTGGAAGGGCACAAACATCTCATGCTGTGAACCGATATGGGTCCAAAAGCACAGAGTTGGATGCGGAATGTCTTCAAGAGTTGGGACAACTAGCAGGAAAACAGGATTTTGGTCCTACATGGTCCACAAAAAAAATAAATTGAGTCCTATTAGCAACTACATGGTTTGTAAGAGGATCCTGAGCCCCTGAAGAGACCCACATCACAGCTAACACCTTGATTTCAATCCATATGGAACTTGCTAGAGAAACCAACTAAGTTGTGCTGTACTTCAACCTACAGAAGCTGTGAGAGAATAAGTGAGTTTGTGCTGATGCCTTACGCAACAATCAAAAACTAATACAATCACTTTGGTGAAATTGCTAGAAGCACTTTGATATTTGAGCAGAATGTTCTTAGGAATATGTTGCAGATACAATTTACTGAATTTGATACCCTGTATCAGATCCAGGAAAAAACAGGGGATGATTTAGGGTTACTATCAAATCAATAATCATACATTCAGAATTTTCTACATGATGAAACCCCATCAGCATTATAAAGGCCACAAATAAGTTCTCCACATAATTAAGCTTATACACAATTCATGCTGGTTTCCACTTCACCTGGAGTTGATGTGAATAATACCAGTGTCACCACCTGCTTTGTGTATCCGTCTTCATCCAGGAAGGTAATCTATACTTGAGTTTTCCACATAGGGTAAAATGGCTGTTTTGGAAAAGTTTCAATTTCCAATATTTGGGACAAACAACTTAAATGTGATCTGGCCCTCTCTGTTTAACCTTGATAGTATCAGAAAGTTAAATCCAGGCCCTTCATAAAGACATAAGAAATCAGTCTTCTCTCATGAGCTTGCCAGGCAGACCCCAGAGAGAAGAGGGAGAGGTTTGGTTGAGAGAAGACTCAGGAAAAGTAAATTAAGAATGTGCTCTTTCTACCTAGAGAGTTGCAATCTCCGGTAGCTCCTAGAGTACATGGAGAAAAGTGAGCTGACTGGAACCCAAAAGAGGGTTCTAGAAAGCAGATTATACACTAGTACTACTCTCCAGTGCCCATGTTTCCCGTTTTCACTTGACTCCTTCCAACATGTCAGCAATCTAAATAAATATTTCCCCTCATCAAACAGAATTTACCATTTTTCTAGCAGCAAAAAAAAAAAAAAATATGATCTTGGTGCAGGAAGAAAAGTGACATATTTAACCTCATGCTGTTAGAAAACTAGGGAATAGATCTATGGTCAAATGGGTGCGACATATTTAACCTCATGATGTTAGAAAACTAGGGAATAGATCTATGGTCAAATGGGTGCGGGGGGAATCTATGGGAACTCATAATCTCAAAAGACAGATTTTTTTCCAATGACCAAATAGTAGCCCTTTGATCCACCACTAACCTTATGAGAACCCATGGAGCTCAGATTTTGGTCTATGTTCTTACTATCCACTATGAGAAAAGAAGAATCCTTAGAAGTTAACCTGATTCCAGGGCACAGAGGAGGAAGTATAAAACAGCTGTGAACAGCTGTTGCTGGGAAACTAGCATCCTTTCAAAAATGCTAGAATTGGTGGGAATGC